ATCGATTGATGTGGGTTCCGCCTGGAGGTTCCTACGAAGCCATGTTCAGCAGAAACTACGAGTGAGTAAAATGATAAGAGCTGAGAGTCTCTCACTTCGCCCTTGGTGTCTCCTACAGTTTATGCGCAGGCCCGACGAGGAGCGAAGGGGGGGTACCGGATCTTTTTCCCCCGGGCCCAGAGCTCCCGAAGGGGCCCCTAGCTCAGGAAGCTGGCATATAAATCTTCTGCGCCAAGGAACTTCCCACGCGTGTAAATCAAGCTCTATACAATATTGGATTCCGAGGTCCAGGAATTAGAATCGTAGTTTTTTCGTCTCTCGTTCGAGAGACATTCATCGTCAAAACAATTCCGATCTGAGAAGAGTGGAGATCCACGCTAATTTTTCAGCCGCGAGCAGACAGCGAACGGACAACAATCAGACAAACAAGAACATATTTTGCTCCTCTTGACAATCGTCAGAGGACTCCGAGGGGCCCACCACTGACGTACCCCGGGCCCGATATTTCTCTCCGCGGTCCTGTCTATGCGACCGCTATGAACCGATGCTCGGAAAAATCCAGCTTCATCGAGGAAGCCTCCTCTGACTCAATCATTGACCAGTTTCCCGGAAAAATTCCGCTAATCCCGGTTTTCGAGCTTGGAGGCAGTCGATTCGAATGTTCCTCGCGATTGCGATGCTGTTGCTCAGGAAGAAATGCGCTCATGGAGCGGTGAGGGCGTGCTTCTGCAACTCCACGGCACGAGAGCTTGCCCGTGCAGAGCAGTGTATTCATCCGTGAGCTGAATTATGCAAGGATTGATTTGAGGCAGTCCCGGGATCGACGCGAACACTGTTCATTCGAGGAGTCCCTAGTTCAACTGCACTCTCCGGGTCCTCATCTCTTCGAGTTCCTCAACTTCGCATCCCCCAATGGGGTTTGTACTGGGTGAGAGCAACATCGGAGATTCATCGTTTGACGGAGGTTTGCGCCCTTCGTCGCACGATTATATGATGAACTCTGAGGAACTTTGCGTTCTTGTTGCGCTTGAACTCACGCTGCTCTCGAGTCGACTCGAGTCCAAGTTCTATAGCATCGCACTCGCAATCGAAGTGGCATTCCTAAGTGATCAGTGAGAGAGGGAGAAGAATGAGAAACTCTTAAACTCTATTTCGGGCATTATTCGACGCAGTCCTCCGTGACTCATTGCTTCAGTCAGAGCTGAACTGGCACTTTGCCTTTTTTTTTTCAAATTTCTCGTTTCTCAGGTTGGAATGGCGAGCCCGCATCGGATTTGCGAGAGTGGCTAAAGAGACAGGGAAGCCTGTAATCCCGTCGTTCACGACGAACCTCCAACATTCGATGCCTTTATTCGACTTTCCCATATCAGGTATTTGAAGCATGTTTTGCGTAGACTTTAGGGAAGCACATCCACTTCAACGTAATGTACTCTACAATCAGGAAGAAGAGCCCTTGCAGGTTTCAACATTCTTTCATTTCAGGTTTCATGAGGCGATGGTACGCTGTTTCGAAACTACCGTTGATGGTACACAAAATCTACCTCCCCGTGAAGATGTGTGTGCATTTCGGCGAGCCTCTCCACTGCGGACGGAATGAAAAGCCGGAGGAATTCGCTCGGAGGGTGAGTCCGACCCAATAGGCTTGCAGTTCGCAAGGACACTTCCGATCTCTCGTTTCTCGTCTCGACTGATATTTCCCCGGATCGCTCCCCACCTGAAGGCCCTCTTCCAGTGCAAGAAAGCGGTGGAAGACCTGCGAGACAGGCTCCAGCCGCCTCAGCGTTCGCTTCTCGCTGCCCTGATGCAAAGACTAATACAGCCAGGAGATGCGCGACTGCAAGTCCGGGCCGCAGCGATTGATCGTGAACTCAGGAACGAATCTCCATCCGACGAAAACGGCTCAGAGCTCTCCCACCTTGAGTCCTGCGCACTGGATTGGTGAAGTGGGTGTTCGAACCACTACGAGGTCCCAATCGCAATATTGTTGTGAACTAATTTCGCATGTTGAATAAAACACGAACCCGCGTCAGGTAGTGCCAGTACCGTCATCATTTTGTGAAGAAGTTCTCCGCTTTTGACTGACTTCCGCGACGCCGAATCCGAAGCCCAGCTTGCATCAGAGTAGGCAATAAGCTGATCCCTGATAGAAGTATCAGGGATCAGCCATGGGTAGCCAGGGTACCCATCCGAGGGATCTGAAGTCCCGCTCGACGCTCGTCCAATGCTCATCCGAACGTGACTCTCAGAAGTGAGCCAGTCTCATTTTTCTGGACTCCTCTCACCGAGAACAACGTTCTGCGGCCTTTTCCTCTCGAAATCCATTCCTCGTGCTCTTCGCACCCCGGTTCTCAGCAGCTCTCTTCTTGGGGACCGAGTTCTCGCTGATGTTCCTAAGAGGTTTCACAGTGTCAGAACGTCAGAACATGTCCGAGCTTCGAACATGAAGTCCACCCTTGCTCTTCCGCAACACTCCTTCGACAAGCGCTTCTGGTTCATCTTCAACCACCCAGCAGAATTCAAATCTTACGTAGGTCAGATCCAGGTCAGTAGCGCATCGAGAGGCGGGGGCGGGCCGCCCCAGGCATCCAGCTCCAGGGGCCTCGAAATGGCTCGAAGGAGGTCCGAAACACCTTATTCGACTGGAAATCACTCATTTCCGTGGAGAGAAATGTCGAAATTCCTCGAAATGGTGAACAACCGAAGGACCGGTCGGAAAAAAAAATGGAAAAAATATCCGATGGGGATATCGAATCGGGGTCTCTGGTGGAATCGGGGCAGCTCGCCCCGGCATCATGCAGCCACGGTTCGCCTGTGATCCAGGTACAGGCGGAATGGTACCTGAAGGCGTCATAGGGGAACAGAACTTATAACGTCGGACAATCGCGGCTAAATTCTCGGATTCCGGGGTAGCTCCCGACATCAGTCCTTGAGGTTCGTGCGGGGGAGGCTCCGATCGAGCCAAATGCACCGATCCCTCCTCCCAACACTACCCTTGCGGGCCGTTAGAGAATTTTCGGGCCCGACGAAAATTGCCAAATACGATGACACCGGTTTGGATCAACGCATGTACGGAATGGGCACGGAGGGATCATAATTGAAAGCTGCCATCTCGATGCTTTTCTGCGTGTACGACAAGGAGAGTCCTTCGATTTGTGAGGTGGGGAGGTTACGTGTCCCCCACTGAAACAAAGGATGCCATGAATCTCATCCTCGACTCCTCAGCAGTCGTCGGGTTCTTCCTCGTTCGACGTCATCGTTTCCTGTAAAGAAAGCACGTTCGAAAGGATTCGGAGCTGGAAAATACGGAAGCCATCCGCCGAGAGAAGTTACACCCGATTTCTGGGCAAAGCTTGGATCCGACTCCGATACTGTCGAGTAGGAGCAATCCCGATCAGAATTCGACCTCGCTCTCCGCCCCGTCTCATTCCACGGGGATTTCGGCCTGAGTTTGACAGACCTGCTCTCCAAGCCCCAGAGAACGCCTCCCACGGGACAAACTCATCGAATAGATAAACTTCGACAACAGAATGACCATTGAAAATCGTTCGTGTCCGGATAAATCTATTGTCTCCACTCAAATCCTCATATCTCCAGTACATCCGCCCTCCGTCTTGCTAACTGCCCCTCGAATCTACTGCTAGACGCTGCGTCGTAAGGTCGCGAAATGCATCGAATTCCGATCGACCAAGGCCGTGGTATCTGGATCCTACCCCCTCAGCCGGGCTCGGAGACATCTTCACGTCGGAAACGGACTCTTCGACGAAGTTTGCGCACCGTTACGCTCCTTTGATCCGTAGCATATGCTCATATTCACAAGCATGCTCATCTGATGAAAGATCTGGCAGGGGGGAATCTAATTGAAGGGGCATGCTCTGATCACCGGCCGCCTCCCGAGCCTCTGATGCTGGGGCCCATTTTGAGTCGCTGATGAGAGGCTCTTAGTTAACGAATAAAGGCGCCTTGAAAACCGCATCCTGAGACTCATAAGACTGAACCAGAGTGGAATTCAGTCTCACTGTTGATTTCCCCCCGAGAACACTACAGCAAGTCAAATCTTTCTCATGGTAAGTCCTTTGCAACACGAAGCACGCCGCGCCGGCTCCCGCGATTGCGAGCTTGCTGTGTGAGGAACCGTCGATGAGTTTAGCCCCGAGCAACGAGCACGAATCGCGGGATTTCGAATGGAGGTGAATAGAGGCATGAGATGATATGTGCTTATCGCCCTAATTCCGACCCAAATACTTCATCACCCATCTCTGATAGTAATCTTAGAAGTCATCTAAGATCTCAATAGACGAGGTGCTCAGAACCTACTATGCTTTGAGAATTCTATGCGTGATCTTCCTGGGCAGTGTCGCTCCATAGAGCGCAGTTTCCGAAGATGTTCGGGACTTCGGGGTGCTTGATCTGATCATCTCTCGGATTACACTAAATCTCAGACTCATCCGAATGGAGAGGGAACATATGACTCCACCTCATTCTCAGGCCAGAAGTTACACTTAGACATTCCAGAGGCCAACCGTCTGTCGAATTCATCGTGAAGATGCGCAGCGAAGCCCTGCCGCAGAGTTACGAGTTACGAGCGAGTTATTCGCAAATGGGCCTCAGAATTTCCTTGTGTGGAAGCAGAGATCATCATTCATGACTACACGACACGCGTTCGCTTGTACCTGTCCACATTAATAAACAAACCGATTCCGCTATCCCCGAACCTCGTTCTCTACCATTTCCCTACCACCGATTAGAGTGAACTATTCGAGGGAAGACTCTTCGCATTGAAAGGGAAGACCCGTCTTCTCGAAGCCGTCTGCGAACTCGGAACCTTCGCGCGCTCTGATGTGGTGCAGAACTCCATCGACTAGAGGAGGAGGGTTTTCCATCGAGGAGGACTCCATCAAGTATTCCGGGGAAGCAGCTGTACAACTTGGATTGGATTTGCTAAAAACTCACCGCTTTTTCGGGAGTGAGGGGTTTCGACGTATCCTCGTTGTGGCAGTTCGTGCCTTATATCTTCCGGCGAACGAGAGACAGCGGCCAATATCACTCATGGCTGACGAAGCAGCGAAACGACGTGTGCTAAGGAAACAGCGAATTCTCGGCAACTCCGAGAATCGTCTGAAACGGATTTTGAACAAAGAAGGTGAGCTCAATAGCGAAAAAAATTATATCATTGGTGAGTTACTCCATACGGCCGCCCCTCAATCAGATGGCTTATGCGAATGACATTCCTTTCGGACGATAGATCTCCGATCAACCTCATGAGGAAATCATCATCGCCATCGGCTGAGATTTCTCTCTGGGAGATCCTCTCTAGCGCGATCTTGTGGGAGACCTTCCTCATTCTTGTCTCGCTCAGAAGATGATTCTAATCCGCAGCGCAAGGAGTTTCCCTGGGAGCGAGCTTGACCAATGTTGAATCGCAGCCGGAGCCTTCCTCGTGGTCGCGGAATGGACTTGAGCTCGACCCGCTTCATCCCGAGCTCGGTACGGCGTTTGCGAATCCCGCCGTAACTCCTCTGTTATCAGATCTCACGAGCAATCTGGACGCATCGATAAGGTCCCAGGACTTCGGATCCGCAGCGTTCTTGGAGCACGCGTCCAATCAGCAAAGCGATCTTTTCGCTCCACGACCCCCATTGGGTATGGCTGATCTCGAAAATGTGAGCGGAGCGAGCAATCCAATGGAGCTACTGTGTCGCTTGGCTGCATCCCTGGATGGAGCCAAATCGGGAGCATCCCAGCAGAAAGTCCTGTATCAAGGTCCATCGTGGCTGGTGGACACTTCGAGTCCTTTACGGGTCCTATTCATCTTGCTTCTGGGAACCACATCAAGGTTTCTCATCCCCTCGCTGCCAATAGATTTCGCTGTGAGTATTCCCTATATTCAGACGCCGGTCATACATATATATTTGACAGCTGTCAGCAACTATTCGACGCACATGACGCCGAGGCATACTCAAGCGAAGACTGTGCCGTCGATGACATCTGTGGATGACGATTTTGAACAGGGCCATCCCGTAACTCTTGCTCATCTCCGCAGATTCTCTTCGGACCGCTGTACATTTTGGAAGTTCTGCTGATTTCGTTGTACTTCGTGTACAAAGCTCCATTCGAACAATCCTCGATGTCAACATTGTACAGTTTACTGTTGCTTTCCGGTATCCATTCCAAAATAGTCAGTACGGCAAAGACGTTATCCGTCTGTATAGAAACCACTCTCCGGGACTTGGTGGTCTACTCTTTCTCTTTCTTCATAGCGCACGCCTTGTGCCACCAACTGAGAGTTTTCGAGGCTCAGATTCCGATGTAAATCCTTAGGCTCCTATATATAGGTAATTGATGGAGACACGCCAAGCCCCCCGCAGCCTATTCAATAAAAGGGAGAGGAGCCATCATGAGTTTCATCTCCAAAAACTCGTTTACACTGCATGAATTATTATTTTCGTTCAACGAGGGCGAAGGATCGATTAAGATGGTCACATTCAGTTTTATTGAAAAACGCTCTGAAGAAGTTTTTCCTCGGGCGGATATCTGATTCGAGCGCTCCGAGCATACGGCAGAGTCTCCTCGTACTGAGGTAATCCCGATGGGCCGACGCGTTCCCCGTCGCGACGGGAAACGTGCACGATAAACGAAATGCGCTACAGCCGACGAGATCGGCTCGAAATGCAGGGTCCTTATCATGAGCAGAGTCTACTGTATGAAAATTAAGGTAAATTGGTGATTGGACTGAACTGAACATTCCATAGAAGAAGACCGACCAAGTCATCGCAAAATTGTGCGGCCTCCAAGTCATGTGTTCCGGCTATCTCGTCTGCCTTCGCTGTTACATGCTTAACCCTACTCATATTTATATGCTCGATAGGGAAAGTACTTCTCACCAAGATGACTTCTCCCAGATTGCGATCCTCACTCGATTGGCCCGAGAGCGAATATACTAGGATATATGAATTACATATGTATTTTAGTTTCTCCTTCAAGTATCGAAAGTTGTCGGGTTTCGGAACGCATAAGTTAAAATACTGGAGTGATGAAATCGTAGTTCGGTGGATCAATGGGTACCGGGGGCGGTTTCTCCGGTATCTGGACCCCCTCCGTATCGAGGAGCCGGAGTTTCATTTCGACATGTAGAAGCATTTCGAGATCTTGCTGAGTCTCCTTCGAAGTCATTCGCTCCCCAAGCAAAGCTCGTATGCCGTCCGTCCAGAAATAGAACACCTGAAACCCGGGAATCGCTGCTCAGACGGGTCAACTCCAAGCTGTCCCTCTCGATCTCTGGGCGTGATGCCCGATATTGGAGATTTTCACCGAATCGAAGTCGAGATGTTTGCTCACCTTTTCGCTAGGTGCAACGAAATTCAGTGCCTCTTGTTCACTTTGCTCTGGCAGCAAGGAGAACGCTAGGGAAGCGGCAGTTTTTGTTTTCCGAGCGTCTTTCATGTGAGGACAATCGCGGGCTGTCGCGAGGGCACGGATTTCTGACACAGCGAATTTGTGCGGCAATTCATCAACACCTGGAAAAAGAATAGAAGCTTATCGGATATCCGCCGACGAAGTTAGTGGGTAGGAGAAAACGATTGGCGAGGCACTCTGTGTCGCCGATTCTGTACTTACTAGGCGGTGCAGCTTTCTCATCCCAATCTCCGTAGTGGAAGATCTTCTGGTTTGCAGACAGTCTACAGTACCAGAATTTATCTTTGATGCGGTGTCCCTTGGCGGAGTACTTCGTGAAGAGGGTTCCTTCAGTCAGCTGTTGCATGCGATGCTGTTGAATGAGGCTCAGTATGTCCGGAGTGAGCATTTCGCGCAGTTGTACGATCGGTATGGCTTTGGTTTCGCACTCCTCTTTGTTGCTTCTTTCCTCGTTCCAAATGTTCATGATTTCTTGATATGGCAGCGTCGCGAGTTTCGATTTGAGTTTCTCGAAATCCGCTGGAAAATGACCGCCGGTAAGTTATAGAGTCGAACGATGGCGCCGGGCCTGGGACTAGCAGGTGGAACTCATCGTCTCCGTCTTGATCCAGGACGCGGACTCACCGGGAGTGGTGCCGTCCGGCGCTTCCATTGCTCTTTCGATCTGGTCTTGCACAACTTGCAGCACTTTCGTGAAATCTTCAGCCGTCGCCCGCATCTCTTTCCACGTTTTGTTGAGGAGCTGAATACAAACGCAGAAAAATTCTTCGAACGGGTACACGTGAGTGAAGAACATGAAGTGGAACGATCGACCCTGATCTCTCGGAGGGTCTCCTATATGCAGGATGTCTTCCGTCAGAAGACGAATCAATCTAATAGACGCTCGAGCGAACGGAACCTCATGCTCGTCCCCCCTGAAAAGCAGAATTTCAATTTCCTCCGAATGTTTGCGATCCGTCCGCGGATAATCTTTAGGGCTTATGATTCCAAGACATCAACTCACCTGACAGAATTTTCAATGACGAATTTAATGTATTGATCGTTGTGATGACGAGCGAAGTAGAGCATATTATCGAGAGCTAAAGCGCCAGGTGGCGATATCAGATCTTCAACTGGATTCGAAGCGCTCTGGAAACCGAGTTTCCGATAGCATTTCGATGCGGACGATTTATTTGATGATCCCTCGGTGGGTCCGAAAGCGATGCGTCGTAATTCCTCCTGGAGAAGTCAGTTTTCAGTACGACGAATTCCAAGGTGAAAAAGAATGATGGGCCCACATCAGTAGAATCTCACGAGGGGGAGTACATAGGGACACTAACTAGTTTCAATTTAGCGTCGGCGTCGTTCGAATCCAATTCTTGTTTTCGGCGTTCATCCTGCATCGAGAAGAGGAGTGTCTGCAGAACGTACAGCTGATGGGCCATTTCCGTGCCCACCATCTGCTGACCTTTTGAAAGTATGTTCGCCAGGATGACCTGGAGGAAACAGCTCATTTTGTCTATGCAGTCCCTTGATGATAAATACAAGACAATATTCCGTATCGCGGGGGGAAAACGAATCGCCGGGACGATGCCCGGGGTACCTTACCTTCCGTATATGCTTCGAGGACAGAGTTGCGTGGAGGCCTCTCCTCTTCGTGTGCTCCGCCTTGATGAACAGTGCATTGATGAGGGCAATAGCACTCTGCTGGATTTCGCTACTGCCGCTCTGGATGTGGGCTATGAGATTGGGGAGAGTAACTTGCTGATCTACGAGATGGTAGCGCGATGAAGAGTTAAGAACTATTGATTCTAGGATGCATAGCGATGCGTGAAGTATCCGAAGATCGGTGGGACTGTTCTGATTGACATTGTTCGCCACCTGTGAGCAAATTTCGATTCTTTAGCATTCCGGAAAGAGCTCAAGCATTGTGGTTCGGGAGAGAATCCGAGGGTTTCCTAAATCCTTACCTTCCCGATGAATTTAGGCTCTACAATGTCCCACAATACGATGCCATGGTCCATCAATTCCACAAAACTCAGGAGTACGAATGCGAGTCTCTCGCCGGTGTGGACCGTCTCTTGAACACTTTTCAGAAGGTATTGATGACCTTGCTTGTTGATGAACTCCAGCGCAAACGTCGGATCCAGAGACAGTCTGTGAAGTTCCTTGAGAACCTCAACAGGGCAATTGTTGCCAGTCGCGTTCAGTGTGTCCAGGATCTTCTGTGTGCGCCGAGCTGGGCTCGCAGTCAATTTGAGGAAGAGGCCATTCTTGATTTCACAGCGATTCTTCTCCGTTATGTACACCGGATTCGTTGGATCGGAGAATTCCAGCGCATAGTTGTCCACCGGATCGCTGATGCACCAGATGGCACAGAGCTCTTGGATGATGCACTTCAAGGGCCGGGTCTGATCCAAGTCTATGAGCTGCGTCGCTTTGTCCAGCATCTCTACCGCTACCTTGACAACGTCCTTCTTGCCCATGGTTCAAATCTGCGACCGGAGATTCTATTGGTCAGTCAGAAACCGGTCTCTTCGGAGACGATTCCTCGATTCCCCCTCAGCCTTTTCCTCGGCTCCTGTGGTACAAGTAGGGATTCATTCATTTGGGGAAAGCTATCTTAGCGATGGGAAAATCATGAGTCAGACAACTGTCTCCAGTAACCCGAATCGCTCCGGACATTCATGCCTAAGAACATGTTCGGATAGAGCGAACGACTCCATCGGGACCGAGTTCATTGCCCTAAACCCCTCCGTAGATCTCCTCTGCGTCCAAAGAACTTCCGGAGGGGATACTCCCAATCGAACAGCGTACCAGACCGTCTGACGAATCGTGAATAGGAAGCTTCTCAAGAAAACTTCTAGAATTAGTTCTCATAACTTCAGGATCTGTCGCTATTGATCGGAGAGAGCAGAAATACCTACTTCGGAAAAGACACATAATACTCACGGGGTGATTAAGAGAACGCAAAAAGTTCGACAATCGGAACGAGAGAGAAATCAGCTGTGCTTGCTGAGCGGCTCCACAATATTCGTTCCCGTGAGGAAAAGCCTCGGACAGAATTCCGGAAATCGTTCGTAAAACATCTGAGAAGCGGGAGCTACATCAAGCCGTAATCATCATCGAGAAATGCCTTTTCAACGCATTTAGTCAGCGAGCTGGTAGACAGGAGCGTTAAGCAAAGAGCAGCCAGTTCTCTGTTCCACACTGTGTGATGGCGGAGCCTCGTCTGGCTGCTCATCGTCTCAGAGAGATGTCTCGCCCTTATGTTTACCTTGATGGATGAATATTTGATCCATCCTCATGCAGGGTACTAGTACTAGCTCAGCCAGCAAGCATGGGATACGCTCACATTGCTCGAGTGCCTTTCTGGGTCTCATCAAACGTCCGAATCGATGCGCGGTTCACGATATGCTCACATTCGGAGCGATACAGCAAAAGGATTGGTGTTGGTTGCGGAGTTTGCGGCCGCATAGTTCTAGCAGGATTCAGAGTCGGCATCCCCTCGGAGCGATGTTTCCGAGTCACATCAGCTCAGACAAACTATGGACCGACTCCAGATTACCTACATGTGTTCAAATTGTTCCAAACTTGAGTCAAACGGATGTGTTTCCATCCATAGGCAAGAGTGCAAGAGGAATGGGTATTTGTATCCGGAGGGACCCCCAAACACACCGAGACTAGATCCAATTACCGGACGTCTCGCTTCGCAACGTATCCCTGTCATGCAAAAATAAGGCTTTTTTTCAGAGGCTCCCTTGGCATCAGTGCTCAGATCATTTATCAATGTGCCGTTAGATGTGGATACTACGGCACTGTTTATGCCACGGCCTCCCGACGACTACGCGTTCAGTGTCAAGATGAGGAAGAATATCATTCGAAGTCTTGTAGGAAGCCGCTTATGATTAGTGGCTCTGTGGCAATATCCAGCGTGGGAGCATGGCTCGTCGAGCAATCCTTATACAAGCACTCAAACACATCAATTGATTGGTCCGTTTTTTGAACCACCTTCCCCGACTCGGTTTCTGCAGAAGACTCAGCATGCCACCGAGTCATGAAGGTGACGGATACCGGGGTCGGAGCTGATTACAGCGAGGCGGCAGACCCCGATACGCGACGAGGGATGATGCTTGGATGTCGCGAGAGGTCAGAATAGTGCGCCGGGAAGCTTCATGTTCGAGGAGTTCGACGGGGAATTTTCATCACCGCGTATAGTGATCCGGAGTCGCTTGCCGAATCAAAGCGGATGCCGGGGTGTGAGCCAGTGCTCACTCAAGGTGCATGCAAGAGATGCGACGAAGGCACCTTGACGCATGCAGCGACGCCTCAGCATGAGCCATCACGGCAATCAAGTTCCTTCCGGACCGGCATGCGGAACGGGTCTCGTTTGCGGATAATCGTGACGATGATTTGAGATATGAAAGAGAATCTCGTGGGACAATTGATCGTCGCGAGAGCGATTCCGAACTCCGTACTCGAGTACTGGGCTGCCCGGTAGGGCGATTTGTTCGCAATGAGCAATGATTCGTCCTCTGCGCATCTATTACGGTCTTCCCGAAGTATACAGGAATCCAGAGATACTTGAAATGAGGAATGCATTCGGAAAGCTCGAAAGATTAAGTTTGCAGGGGTGTCCTCTTCACAGGGAGTTCTTTGACCTTCTGTACGCGATCATACCCGTGGCGCTCGAGCACTCCCTGCTCTATTTTTTATCGAGCAGCTCGCAGAGGGGTGACCCTATAATGCTCAAAAGGAACTGCGAGTGCCAAAGAAGAGGAAACCGAGGAGACGGTACGAGAGCGAAAGGAAAGAATTCATTTACGAAAAACTCATGATAGTGGAGAATTCTACTGGGTTCATGTTCAGAATAGCGACCAGAAAAACCCTAAGGGTTCACGTGGAGGGGGGAGCGGATAGTGTTGGATTTGAAGAGTTCGGGATCATACGCTGGAGGGAAGACATGAAAGGGAAGGGCATCCCATAGACGAGACATGCTGAGTGAAAAGTCGGATCCAGAAAAATGAGTAATACGATTGGCGCGAAGTTGAATGTAATGGGGGTGTTGCTTGGCACTCCACCTGGTCGAGCGGGGACCGAAATAGGGGGAGAAGGGAAGAAGTTTCAGCTGAGGATTTTCCATTGAAGTACTGATCAAACAGACAGAGGTCGGTAATGTCTCGTCGACGAGATAAAGTTTCGTCTTGAAGATGACGTCCAGAATCTTCCGGAGATCGCGATTGAGGTAGGTATGCACGGTGATTCGAACGGAATTGGTTCGGGCTTGGGGGTGGAGTGCTTTTTGAAAGAGTGGGATTTGCCTAGAACACTGGCCGAATTCGGAGTTTCTCACCGGTAGCGTATCAGGGCGGACCTCTGAGGCGGAGGGAAACGAAGAGGATATGATATCGTGTCAGGCGTCTTCGCATCCGTTCGGGTATAGGCGGAATGAATGAGTAATGCTTGGATTCATATCGCCTATCTATTATTAAAGTCATCTCCAGGATGCCATAGGTACACTTGTATTCCTCCGAATAATCCTCCGTCGAGCACTCGTGTAGTCTGACGCATTTGATGCCAGAGATCGGGATCGTATATCAATAACAATCATCACGGAAACTTCCATTCGCACAGTGCGAGGATCGAGTACGGCATTCCACGACCGTTTCTGATAGCAAGTTCTTCTGTGTCTTCACGAGACGCAAAGAGATTCTCTCTCACGGAGCACGTGGTCGGGGCTTATCGATTCCTATCGAGAAACTTTATCGCTTCCAGAACTTCTTCACGAATTCCTTGAAAGGCGGGATAGGTTTCAACAAGCCTCTCCTTGACAATGCGCGGACGGTGAAACCGGTGACCGTTATAGACGTCAGGTATCGAATGGGAGTGATGAGCTGCGGTGGAAAGAAGCGTGACTTTCTACCGTGACTTTGACGAATAATTCCATTGTTCATGCTCTCAGTATTGTCTGGATTGCCCTCACCTTGTATCCAGCGTATCCCATGGCAGTGTGACTGACGGCTGAGTCCTTCAGAGAAGCAAGGTATTCTTGCGGTACCCCGACGAACTCCATCAGCGGTATGGGGCTTATACCCCTTGAAAGAAGCGATGCCGTTTTTGAGGCGAGCTAGGGAATTGAAGTTCGGCCCGAACGAATAAAGAGTGGCATAATACTCACATTTTCGAAAGGTAGTAGAAACACATAAAATATCCAGCCGAAGTCGTGATGTGTACGGGGAGCATGACATACCAATATCGACTGAAATCTCTCTTGAACCTGCGAGGAGAATCGTCCGATAGGCGGTTCATAGGAAACGGTAAATCCGTCTTATCGACTCGATCGACTGTGGCCGACTACCTTTGGAAGAGCGTCAACTTCTCTGTTCCTTCAGGGGGTTTGTTGGCTGCTGATGAGGCTTCGGCACGGTCCGGAATGAAATTTATTCTATGCGATACCGGCAGCATGTGTCGCTGCAGCTGATAACCTGGGTGCGGCACTATTGTTAAGAGCGACCTCAATGAGTCGAGCTGAGACTCTCGGAGTGTTCTCTGAGCTGCCAGATCTGAAATTCCATCCTCGGCTTCTGAGAGATCATTGATACGGTCTCTAACCCACCCTTCACTGGTTTAGCGAGTCTGCTCAGCAGAATCTGTGTTCGCATCATCCCGATACTTTGCCACATGATGCGACGTATCTCTGACAGATTTTCTAGAAATGAGACTAGGGAATTCGACGTTCGAGGCAGGACGCCGAGAACGCACGTCGTCTGGCGACCGTCCCTTGTTTACCATCAATGCCCACGTGGCGAGAGTTTCCCCCTCTCCCTGCAGATGGGTTACCCTAAGCTTGACACATAGCTTGGCCTTGGTGAGAACTATTGTTTGCACTCGATGGAGCTATGCTCGAGTTTTCTTTTTTGCTCCATTCTTCCTGCAATTTGCCGCTGCCCCGTTTACCCGGAGGCGGCTTGCTGCCTTGGCATTGGGCACCTTCGAACAACTTCGACTTTCAAAGCAGAGAGGATGCTTCAGCGAAGGGGCGCGACTTGAGCTCACCACTCTGCGAATCGTTCTGGGCGGAGACTCAAACTCTCATCATGCTCAGTCTGAAGAGTAGCCGATTCGGAGGAGAATGCTCCAGAACGAATTCTCATGTTTTATGAGAAGGTGGTCTGCGTAGAAATTTTGCTAGATATTCGTCAGCCTGATATCCTTCCTAACGGCAAAGCGGGATAAATTCTGGAGCGTTCAGCGGTCCCCAAAACATATGCGCTCGGAGCATGGCCTCGCAACGGGCTTAGTGGCTGCGCGAACGATGAGCGGACCATCACCGATGGAATGATTTCTCGATGAGTTCAGGGATAAAGATGGTCCTATGTCTCACCCAATGAGAGCATCAACGATCGATCTCAGGGACTCGTTACCCCGGAGAGCTCAGACGGGTCAAATCTTTCAGCGACAGATCATATCAGAGGACGAGCAGAAGTCATGCTCCATAACGAATAACGCTTCATGCCACGTCGAACGATCCATTGGGTACATGAGCCATAGCAAGAGTCTAAGGGAGAGTTGATGGGTGGGCTCTGCGGCCTGCGGAAATCGATTCGACGGTCCGGCCGAGCCGTCGGCGTCGTTCCACTTCTGCCTGGGTGCTCTCAAGAGCTCTCGACTCATGGACTGCGCTTTCGTTTTCCCCCGTATTCATCCTGTTCACTCCACTTTACATTTTATTGGATCACCACGACGTCCGATTCCGAGCTCCGGCGTTCCTCCTCGCTCACGCCAGACTATCTGATGCTCTCGGATCGGAAATTCAATCAGGTTGTGCAAACCCTGTGACTCTGTGATGCCAAAGCGTGATGGCTCAATCTCGAATCGACATTCTCTGAAGCCCCTGGACTAGATTCGAGGCTGAGCATCCGAGAGAGGGGAAGTCCGACGAGGAGAAGCCAAACATGCGTCCGACAGCCGTTAGACTCGCGTTTTGATTATCCGACTCAGATCATGTGAATTATGCGGGATTCCGGCACGATCCCGTGAACCGAGATGTGCAATCCGAGAGCGAGCTAAGAGGAGCGTTCTAGCTCTTGGAGAAGTTTCATCTGTCTGGGAGCCCTAGATTCTCTCCAGAAACCTCGGGAATAGAGACTCGAAGCTGCGATGAGCTGGTACTTTCGGAAAAATTTCACGGAAGCCGCCAGTAGAATTGCTGACCTGGCCGGGCATATGATCGGGAAGAGACTGCTGAGTTCGAATCGGGCGCATCACCCGCCGTGCGGGGAATATCGAACCATTTATTTATACGCAATATAGTCGTATAATTATATTATACAATCTGGTTAGGAGACTCGAAGAGTGCGCCTGGACTGACTGAGAGCGAGAAAAGGACCGGAGCTCGATGTCACAGATCCCATCGGTCTCACAGCAGTACCCTAGTCACAATCAGCCTGGCGACGGTCGCCAAGCTGAGCATGCAGGTCAAACCAGCTGGCATGAATTTCCCCGAGTTGGCAAACCGATAACCCATGAGAATACTCAATACACTGGAGACGAATAGCAGAATATGGATCTTCGTAGGGTCCTCGCTGATTTGCTTGGCACCGTAGGCAGCAAGTGATCCAAACGTAAGACCTGTAGGTATCGGATTTCGTCAGTCATCAGTGCGCTTCCATAGACTACTAAAAACTCCGATTCATGCCTGATCGATCGCCGATAATTTTGAAAACAATTCACTCTCATTATTCCGGATACGTATAATCATAATTTCATCATATCGTATCATAAAATACCGAGTGCTGTTCTCTGGACCCACCTGCACACAATGACATAACACTCCCGGCCTTGAGATAGCCCATCAATCCGCCGAGGCTGATTGCGGCGGCATAAGCGTAACCGAAGAAGTCCATGTCGATCTCTTGAGCTTTTCGAGTTCCCAGTCGAGAATATCAATTCCTGAAATTCGGTGCGATAAGATCGCAATGTCTCACGGCGACACCAGACCCGAAACTCCCGGCAACTCGTACCTATCCGTACTCCGTCGACGCGAACTTCGTGATTCGTAGCTTTCCTTTTTCCTCGTATGACAACAATCACCGGATTTCACTCGATACAGTGAGAGGGAAACGACGACACAACAAACACCGCTGTGTGGATGGAGACCCTCTCGACGGAGCTGAAAGCGCTGCCGGCGTTCCCTTACCCGTGATGACGATTGTGTGTCCGCTCGCGCCCGTGTAGAGAAAAAGGCCGCGGTCAACAATGTTTTTCAAGAGCTTCAGGAAAAAACTGGAGTTGTCCGTACATGGTTTCTACATCGAATACAGCAGTCCGATAATTCGAATGTTCTGAGTTCGAGCAGATGATGCGAGAACAGCCGGGAGCTCACCCAGAGAGAGCAGGTGGATGGACGAATTCGCCCTGTCGCGCTCGATACGGTGCGACTCGCGCATATGCCTATCGTTTCCCAGAGAAATGAGGGTGATGAGCTCTCGCGTCTAATTCGAACTCGAGAGGAATGATCCGGAAGTATCACTCGAGCAGTGGGAGCGACATCGCAACGAATCAATGATATTCATCGGCCAGGTGTTGAGTATAGTGCATAGACCAGCGATCCACCGTGAATTTAGTGTATCTGGAACCCACGAAGCATCGGCTCCCGCTCATTCTTTGGTCCGCTCCGATTCCTCCCGCATTCTGAGCGCTGCTGCTCACTCAGCGGCCTTGTGATGTGATCTTGACGTCCAGCACGGAAGCTGCTGGGTTTCATCCCACTGGCGACTTCCGAGCCACTCGGTGCTGGAGCTCATGTTTTCGTCAGGGAACGCTGCTGGTATCGACAATGACGACGAGCAATACTGGTGTGCTGAAGCCTAAATTGTCCTCGAGCCGTGCGACAGCGTGAACAGGAATGGAGGCCGAAATTGATCCTGCCGCTACCGCCTGCTCTATCGGAGAGGAAATTCCCAACGGTTTCTGCAATACTGAACACCCGAGAGGATTACTCAGGCGTAACATAAGTCCTGGAAACTGTAGGACTGCGCAGTTTGTGGTAGCCAGAAACTTCGATGCAGGGAGTAATCAATATGAGTCACTGAGGGGAGCGATTTATATTCGTTCCACGAAAACATTTATGCTCCCAATGCTCCCGGTATCTGAACGGAGGAGCTCGACGAAATGAGCATCCTCAGGAAGTATCGGGATCGATGCGAGAGATGAAATGGGCATCATCTTCGTGGGACAGACAGGGCTTCATCGTGGTTCTCTATATCGGAGAGAATACTGTAATACAATTCACGAGCATGTCTGGTTCAGCTACACGGGAACCTCTCATCTCGACCCCTCGGGAACCGACTCCAGAGGTCACGGAACCTCGTTTCCTAAAACGAGTTCTCGGAGACCACCCGAGTACGCGAAACCGCCTGGTCTACCCTCTGACCGGCGAGAAGCGATTCGTCGAAGAGATCCGCCAAAAGTTCAACCTCGAGGAGACAGCCGCGTACAGGAATTTCATGGACAAGAAAAAGGAGGAAGTCGATAATGCGAGCCCGGACTTCTACAACTCGCCAGCCATGACCAATGCCGCGTGGAAGAGACCCGACCGGACGAACAGACACGTGGTGGTCAAGTTCTCAACCCATGGCTACCACCATGTAATTTGCCAAACGGACCTGTACCACGACCCATTGGAGACTTGATTCTGTAAATATTGCGAAGCACCTTGTGATCTGTACCACGCCCAATCTTGTACATATCCCCAATCCCTTATCGAAAAGCTCAAGAAGGCTCTCCTGTGATGCGATCCCACTGTACAATTATGTACCTCTTACTTAGGTAAAATATTACACGAACTGTGTGAATAAAAGATCATTGAGGAACCTCGTTTCTATTCACTTTTCGGGGATTCACAAGACATAGAATATGATAGCAACAGCACCAGAGCATCAGACTATACCCAATAAACTTCATTGAAGCGGAGCACGTAATATATACGGGTACTGAATTAAGGGAAAGGGAACTAAGACTGCGTGGGAGTCTAGCTAAGCGTAGTGACAACGAGCACGGGAAAGGCAGATTTCAACAGTTTCCCCTGGTTCTGGGGTGGGACCTGGATCGGACACCGACAACTCATCGCCGACCAACTCATCGCCGAAATCTCAACGCCGACTTCTCAACGCCGGATAGCTCGACGCCGAGACAACTCAACGCCGGGAAAACTCATCGCCGGACAAGCTGACCCCGGGACAACATAACGCCGGACAATTGATCGCCGGTCAACTCAACGCCGAGAACCTGTCGGGTCCGGTCAAGTCAACGCCGTGAACCTGTCGCTAACTCGATCCCAGTTCAGGAGGCACACTGCTTGAAAATGATGCGTCCAGATGATTTGCTTTCCCAAGTACACAGCTTGACGATAGGTATTTCCAGACAATCAACGACTTCTACACGTTTACGGTAGTCGAATACTTACGCGGGTGCGCGAAGATTTTTCTCATGAAACCTTGAATGATTGCGTGCATATCGGAAAAAGCTCGATAAAAAGTACCTAAAAGTGGACGTGGTCGATGATCACTACCGAGGTTCTGGCCGTCCTATCAGATTCTACGCTTAAGACTGGTCAAGAGGTCTTGAGAGAATAAAATGACATAAATATGACGGAGCAGGACCGCATCATCTGATTTGAACTGAACGCATCATACTCGCGCAAAGAACATTCGGAGCAGGCTAAGTACCGGCGTTGAGTTGACCGGCGACCAATTGTCCGGCGCTAGGTTGTCCCGGCGCACAGTGGGGCCAAATCGGATTTTAGGTGGACAAAAGTCCATGGAAATTCATCCCGGAATTTCGAAATGTTAGTGAGACTCTGAACGTCGCGAGGGAACCATGATTACCGCTTTTTCCGGATCCCCCAGCCACCCTGAATGAAATTGAATTTTTTTTTCGACGACAATTTCATGAACTTTCCCCCCCCTTCCCAATCGGTGATGCTCGGAAATGAAGATATTTAGCGCCCTCGAATCGAGGGAAAACTATTTTCTGCGCTCAGTTCCCGTTCCGATCTCGCAATCCCACATGATTCCGGTCAAGTCAGCCGATTCTGGACTTGCTGGGAAGACTTTTTCGCCGAGACGAAAAAGTTCGGAAATTCGTTAAATTCTCGATGTCAGAAATGCAGTGTCCCCACGTGTCCCCCCTCAGATTTATCTCTTTCTGAGGAGTATCAGATCTCTACTCGCCGCAAAGAAAATATTGAGCCGCGAAACCCAGCGGTACTCGAATACTGTCTGTCCAAAGTTGGGATCTGATCTCGTAGATCGGGACCATTCTCATGTAGTTTTCCGAATCAGCGTCGGAGACGATCTCAAACCCATATCCACCAAGATCTTCAGATCCTCTTGTAGTCTCTATGCGGAGATTCCCACGGAAAAAAGAGACACTCCGATTCCGGATCCAGAGGTGCGATGCTTACTCGACTACTACTCATCAACGGAAGATGTTAAATCGATGGAAGACGACGATGCTGAACACCCAGAACCAGAAGGAAGACAGAAGGGGAATCAGAGGGCTCTGAGCCTCGCTCTGAGGTAGCTTCCGCTGGCTCGAGCGATTGTTCAGCTGTCGATGAATGAGTTTTATGGAGTTGAAGGAATCCGAGTAGAATGAAAAAAGAACTCCGTCCCCAATTATTCCTATCACATGTTTTTTTCTCATACCAGGAGCTCATCCCGCTCCTTGAGGTGTTGGAATTGCTTTCAGCAGTCTTCCTTCGCTCCATTCCAGACCCCTAAAACCTCAGAAAGCTGAAAAATGTTATGGAACGTTTCGACCACCCAAAATCCGATTTGGCCCCACTGTGCGGCGTCAGCTTGTCCGGCGATGAGTCGTCTCGGCGTTGAGTTGACTCGACGTTGAGTTGTCCCGGCGTTGAGCTATCCGGCGTTGAGAAGTCGGCGTTGAGTTTTCGGCGATGAGTTGGTCGGCGATGAAGTGTCCTGTACCACCTGGATCACTACTTGATGTGATCTCCGGTGGTAGAAGCTCACAGGAGCCGGGCGTCACAGGAACGACAAAACGCGGATTCTCAGCGCGAATCGACCGAAGTCTTCTAGGACACGAGATAGTGCTCCGGAGACCGATTTCCGTGGAATCTGGAATCATCGCCAGTCGGAGAGATTTCATGGGGCGGAGTCGACAAAGGATGAGTGAACGAGACGATTGACTATGATCTACTATATGGAGTCTATAGTTCTATTGGACCTGAACAGTGGAAATGCCGTTCCGCTGCCGAGGGACCGCCTCGATTAGATGAGATCCCAGGCTAAGATCATCAAAATCATTGTCCTGGTAGTATGAAGAGTGTACATAAAAAGGACAGATTCCATTTTCTTGAAACTTAAAGCACCATAGAATCCTACGGGGGTCCCCGGAAAGATGACTCGCGAGAAGGAACACCGCTCCAGCGTGGCTCACCGAGTTCACAGTTCACCTCTCTCCAGATGAACGGGTTAGACTCAGCAGACGACGCCGAAGCCAGCGACCATGTCGAGTTCAATACAACAACACAGAGCACAAAGAGACGGCGACGACGATCACTCTGGAAAACAGAGCTCTCCAGGGGTCGCTCAGCCTGCGGCGCCCAGAGCTGTTTTTCCGAGAGCGGGTACGATTCGCGTGGCTTGGACGCCATGGGAGCTCGAAGCCCCCGCAGCTGCGGGGGAAGTCGGAAGAGCTCGTGTTTCTAGTACGTGCTGGTGTTGGTAGTGATTCACGGCGTGTGAGTTCGTCCGTGTGTTCTTCTGCTGGTTGGGAGTGCTAGCGCATAGCCACGGCGGCAACCACAGCCGTCTAGGTGCCGACGTCGGTGTCGGTTGTGTTCATCGTTCGGAGTGCAGTGCGGCTCTCTCGAGCCGGATCAGCTGTTGGCGGAGGAAGGATCTCCTTTTTGCGGAGGGAGCCCTATGAGGGTTGCCTGCTGAATTCTGAGCTCGCGTATCATCATACGGATGAACGATTGACAGTCTGTCCACCAGTGATCAACCATTATGAAGGAAAAACCGAACTCGACCAGAACATACGACGAGGAGGGTTTCCGCCGCCGCGCGGCATGTCTCTGCGTTCGAACTGCGGATGAAACAGAGGTTCGTCGATCCGTTCCTGATTTTCCCGCTTGCTTGCCCGCCTGCCCGTCAACCTTGCCCACCGTGTGCGGCCTAGACAAAATATAAGTAGCTCTACGAGTCATCCAGACTATTTGAAAAACACGGTTTGACCGGTGCAAAATTTAGAGACACTCGAGGGCGTCGTACTGTCGTACGGAGAGCTCTTCGCTTCAATGACACTCAAACCGGTTGAGGCTGGTTCTCTCCGAACGTTCACGATCAGAACACTTCGTCGTTGCTTCTGGTCCGTGTTCATGAAGTGTCTCACTCTCGATGGAGTCGTCACAGACAGCGAAGATCATCGCATTCAGCCATCGAACGATTGGATGAAATGTAACGGATAGTTCGCGGATCGATTCGATCACGAGTGGCGGTCAAGGGATTCCCCGAATGGCTCTCCAAATCGCGCACGAATCCGGGAAGGAAATCGGACCCAGCTTTGGCGGCATTCGAGTCGAATTGATGGGAATTCGCCTAGGCCCCTGACTCCTCTCCCGGTGAAAAAACCAGCTGGAGCGATCCCTGAACAACACTTCGACTTACTTGCTCTAGGATAGAGTATGAGAATCTCCTTGATAAATGAGTGGATGATTGTGACGCATCGTATCACACCATTGGAGCCGCCTCCGGTTTGTCGAAGCGGCGGCTGGAGTTTTCACGAGATCCGACTCCAGATCCCTCCTCAGTCAGAAGAGCCAACTCGATTAACGGAGGTGCTCTATCCGCTCTCCTAGACAATGATGGGCCCCGCTTTGAAAAATAGATAGACATATTCGGAAACTCGAGTCCGCCAATCGTGGGGTTCTCTCGTGACATGCAACGCTGGGCTCGTAATAAAGCGAGCGCTAGGAGATCCGCTCAGATACCACGGATTGATCCCCCGACCGCCGAACGCCTGGCGCGTCTTATTCTCTCCCTTTGCGCGAACTCCGCATCCTTGAGAGACACTGCTCGAACGAAGGACAGCCCTCCGGAGGAGTTCTCGTCTGTTCCTGTTGTTTCGTCTGTCGAGGGTTATCGCGAGGTTTCCCGCAGCGAAGAGTTCGACTTGCGCTGGCGGCAGGGCTCGCAGCTTCGAGCCTCGACAGACCCGGCTACGATGGCTCCCTGATACTGTCCTGATAGCTGGGCGGAGGGGACATGAAACATGGACCGTAGGGCTCACTCCGGAAACCTTGGTCGGATCACATAACACAGTTAGATACCAGATCTGGGTTCGACCTGCGCTACCGATTCCTGCGCCTGACGACACGAGTCCTCTCTGTCCGTCCGCTCTAATCCTCGATCGAGGGCCATGCATCATAGATGAACGGTCACCGCATCCACGTTTTGGGTCCAGCATCCGTAATTTCTTTCGTTCAGAGATCAGCGGAATTACAAACGATCGCGATCCTGGTGGTACCAGGATGGCTATTATTGACGATCCGATGTTTCATGTATCGTCTGATCCGGGAACTTCAGAATCTAAACTTGAGGGTTGGAGCTGTTGTACCGCGATGTCTAGCGGATGTGTTTTATGGTAGCGCACAACTCCGTCAGGGTGTACTCTGGAAAAGCAGAGGCCCGTCGTAAGCCAAATGCCTCGTACCTCTATTGTCCGAGGCTATGGCTATGGTCGAGCGGATCTCCGACCAGAATCCTATTTCCTGCGTTCCTCGAAACATGGACATCCTTTCTCGGAATCAAATCTCTCGAATCCCTTGCCGCGCCTTGAGACATTCTGTTCGCTTTCAGATTCTTCTGGTTTCTTCCTCGTCGTCGCCAGACCGATTCATCGTACCCGGTGGAGGTCTAGAGCCCGAGGAGGACGCACCAGCTGCTGCCATCCGTGAGGTGATGGAGGAGGCGGGCGTTAAGGGCACATTAGGAAGATGTCTCGGCGTCTTTGAGGTGAGTCCTAATCGTCAAAGGATTACGATCAGGGCTCCATTGTTCCCTTCATTTCGATAGCCAGCGTTCTATCAGTGCCTTCCCGCCCCGCTGCAATTATCGGTCGATCCCTCACGTATATGCATCTCTCTCCGGTTCCCCTTAGAATCTGGAACGGCGCCACCGGACGCAGGTGTTCGTGCTACAGGTCGAGGATCTCCTTGAAGAATGGGACGATTCGAAGAGCATCGGTAAGCGCCGGCATGAGGAGAGCGATAATTATCAGCGTGCAGGTGTCAATCAGCTCCGACCCGAATAATCCGTGGACATCGATTCGAGGGCGATGTTTAGACGATGTCTTTCTTCGACCTCAGTCGTTACATGTATCTGAGTATGTATACGAGGCCTACCTGAGCCAGCGGTTGGCACTCGGCCAGAGCCGGCGTGGCGCCCCCCTTCGGCTATTAATACATGAAGCTCATGTTCGTCCTCGGAATACGCTGGACTCCGCTCTGAAGATGTATCGGCTCATCGGGTCGTCCGTTGACTCGGATCCCCCTCAGTACGTCCTAATCCAAGATTTGCATTCTTCCGGGCTCTACCTGATTGGATTGGCCGCTGAAGCGAGGCGGAATGATTTGGTTCCGAGCTCCGACGCATTCCGTAGAAGCGGGGTACAAGATATTCTGTGGAGAACTCAGGGCAGAGGCGTGGGCACACCTCCCTCTCGAGAAACCTTTCAGATTCCCTCTCTCCCCCTTGTTCGCCGCCTTGTCTGAGAATTTAATCCTCGGTTTCCAGTCCACTCGGGAAAATGCCGAATCTTATCTCACTCAGGCCGGGGCTGATGGATTTCCGGTCCCCAAAACATCGACACGATTGGGCCTATCACATGGGTAGGGAGGATTAGCGACAGAAATCCTATGGAGCTGGCTCTTCGAGGAATTCAGGTGCTGCCCCTTGAATTCTCGCGGATCAATTCCATTTTCGGAGAAGAGCAAGAGTCAAAGATTCTGTCTGGCTAGCCCCCTAACGAAGAGATATATCGATCACAGCTCCGATCGGACCGGCTCTGGAGGTGCATTGCCGTCAGATGGCGATCGGGAGCCCTCGATCTCTCCTCGATGCACAGACGGAGGTCAAGGCTCCGGTATTACGTGTTCGAGAAAAATCAGGGAGACGATTTCGGAACAGGTCTCGCTAACCGAAACTCTGTTTCCAGGGCGCAAGCGTAAATGGTTCACCGTTCCTAACGCTCTTGAGGAACTCACCGTGTCCAAACCAGTCCAGTGCAACTACGTGGAACTATTGCGGAAGAAGGACAATAAGAGTGGAGACGGAGATTCGGGGAGCGGAGGAAACGTCGCAGTCAAGTAGAGTCAGACTCGTGTCCGAAATCAACATATTTCGGATCTTGCGCATCTTCTATTATGTCATTGTCGGCGAACGTCGCTTCTTCAGCGAGATCGACAAAGTCTGTTGCCGGATGGATAGTCACCGGGGAAACGTTGCGAGGGTTCCGGGAAGTCTTTGTCGGATTCGAATTCGATGGAACCGAGGATCGCCTACGCTCTCGGTCCTCAGTCCCTCGTCTCTTGTTGACTCCGAATCGCTCCCATGAGTGTACGAGCAATGAATGGTAATTGTCATTCGGTAGTCACAGACGAGGGAAGATTTTCTAGGAGCTCGGAAGACTTCCGTCGGCTCAGGAGGTGTTCCTCACGGTCTCCTCTTCCAAGCAGCGTGCTCCGCCTGGGAAGAGAATGAGAAAATGATTTCGTTCGGGCACCGGAGGGCAGCGAGTTCCCATCAGGAACAAGGCATGATTGTAAATTCGCTCATATAGAGCACCTCACGACCCGGCTCTGAATATTTCAGGCATTGCACTAACAAAAGGATGACTTGGAAGATTCCATATAAAATAAACAGGCGTCGATTTGTTTACAAGCTGGCCACATCCTAAGAAATCCGAGAAAGAAGATTCGAGTCTTGGCTTGCGGTAGTCTCCGGGAGGCCATCATCGCTAGGAGCAGCGGTCTCACTGTAGCTGAAGAAAATTTCTCTGCGGTTTCGAGTCGCGATACGGACCCTGATGATGAAAGGAAGTGTCTCCGTGTGCGAAATTCCCCAAGTCCGTCGTTGAGAACAAGCTTAAGCGTGCTTCCGAACCCGAAGTCTCTCTGGAGAAGAAGATGAAGGAGGCTCGAATATCTAAAGGGAGGTGCCCATTACTATGAGGGAGGAGATGGAGAATGGGCCAGAAGAAGTGTCGATCGAATGTTTTTCGAGCATTTACCCCGAGCGAGCTCGCGCCGAGGACCTTCATTCTCAGCCGATCATAAGCCAATTCCCCACGATTCCAGAGTATTCGGAGCTCAGCAAACCAATAGAATTCCCTCACTTTGAAACTCGCACACCGGTGCGATATCCGCTCGCTGGCTAACATTGAAATCTTCCTGGTCTCTCGTGAGGTCGAGGAACCCTGAATAGGGAGACGCCGCCACTTGCCTGAGGCATGAAGCTTCGATGACAAATCGAAGCCTCAACTCAAGAGCGGTCCAATCTGCGCCAGCGGGAGTTTATCGAATTTGTTCGGACTCGGAGAAACGGAGCTGTGAAGTGAGAAATCGTCTACCAGAGATCTTCCGCCTCCATGAGGAGCTCAGGATTGATGGCGATCGCTCTCCGACGTATCGAAGCGATCCCTGGCTGATTGTTTGAAGACATCGGATCTGGTTACGATGTACTGAGTACTGGAGCGAAGGAGTTTATTTCCAGGCATCCGCAGAACGGTGAACATGGGCTGCGCTGACCCCCAGTCGAAGTAAGCGGGAGTTGACCCCAAATCTGGTCGAAGTTTTCGCGGGAAAGGGGAGCAGTCGGAGGTGACGGGGCACAGGGCAAGCCTGCATGCCGTGCGGGGATAGCGCTTCTGCTATGCCAAAACTCGACCGCTCAAAATTTCTGGTTTCTGTTCCGAGAACAAGCCTTCCAGACCTGCGATCGAGCCCTACCCCAACTGCTCTCATCCAGATACTGAGTGAGAGTGTCCTGAAGGTGACGCATGATTTGAGCGCTCAAATTGATTTGCACTCCAACTACATAGCACAGAATCGCTGAGGATTCTCGATACGGTTTCAGCTGAATCCCGCTCGAATTCTCAGCACGGATCATCGACATCACCGTTTTCCCTCACCCATCGGCAGATTCTGTTTTTTAATGTGATTTCACCGGCGTTTTCCTTGTAGGCATTCCTCATAGGCTGAACATACGTGCAGTCGCCAAACTCAGCTTGCGTATAAGCGCACGATCAAGCGCTATATTTAGTTTACGAAAGTACGCCGTACAATGCGTAAAAGCCGAATTTCATCTTTGCTTCGAAGAGCTTGTGCGCCCTCCTGGTTTTTCGCCGTCTCTGTGGAACAAAAGCTCGGGTTATGGCGTCTCCGACGCCGGAAAGATCTCACGATTGGGGCAGATCAGTGTGGAATTTTCTTGAGACAAACTAGATAGCCGTCAAACTCGTTACACGGGTGTAGGGGAGGCTGCGCTGATTGGCGCGAACTTTCGAAAGAGACAGTCGCTGCGGTGTCGCATACAAAAATCCAGAGTATCTGAGCCTCAGTCCCGCAGCTTTCACGGTGTGCTCCCATCTAGATGCTAACGTTGGGGGAAATCCGAGAACTCCCGGAAAATCGAGATTCCCGATCTATCTGACAACCTATGCGCGTTCCAATCCTCCCACGTTAAACCCTCTCGCTCCTCTCTCGGGCTCCCTCCTCCCCGAGACGACCATATTTGTCACTCGAACACGCTCATCCGTAGAGGAAAGTCTTTCAAGGTGAGTTTTTCCTGCCGGAGAGGACGGGAATTTCTGATTTTATTCAATATCCCTCGATATGGTAGCTGAGAGCCGGGAACGAACCTCACACAGCTTTGTGAGATCTTCGGCTCAGCTCGGTCTGTCCGGCTCAGGTTCGCGGGAAAATGCCGAGTGAGGCGTTGGCTCCCGATTCATTCGCGAATTGACCTCGATACCCCAGTCGAGTTTCCCCTAAGCCAGCTCCATATGGGCGCGCGGAGATCAATCCGGAAGGATTCGAGCTTCGCCCCTCAATCTGATCCTTGGTTCGGAAGATCCGAGGTTTTGACTTTCGGCTCGCATCCTGCGAGTCTGACGGCTGATGCAAGACCTCGTTTCCTGTTGGTCGGATTCCTAATCAATTCCACGGGTGTATCTTCCGCCTGAAACTACGTGGCTCTCACAGCTCGTGATCCGAACCTCATTCTCAAAATCTAGACGATATCCTTCATAGCGTTCGACTTCCGACCATGTTTGCACCCAACTGCTCGGAGTACTAGCGTCGCACGGATGAAAGAGAATGTTCATTTCGCGAGGAGACGGCTCCCGTTCAGTCTACAAGTGTGAGACAAGTGCTGAGTGGATCTTGAACATTGTGTGGCCTCTTTTCCTTTGTCAGCGAACCGAGATAGCGAACTCCACGAGTGGAGCTTCTTATTGCGACCGAGCGCTCATCATAAACTCATTAGACGAACATGAAGCGATCTCTGGGAATACTCATCGGCTGTCTTCGTGCCTGTTTCCGTCTCGCTTATCTCAATAATTGCGAGGACCGCTGGCTGATCCTTCTCGATGCGCTAATGACCGTTGGACGGCGGATCAGCTTCCCAATCGAATGTTATACACTGTGGATCAGGATGTTCGATCCATATATATCGAACCAGACGAGCGAAATCGGGAGGAAGACCATCTCTTGTCTCGCGGTTTCATCGAGTTTCGAACGAGAATGATCCGAGATATCCGTTCGCATTCTGGTCGTGCTCTCGCCGACACGATAGGAGCATGCGGTCTAAGATGCGCCGCGTAACTCGAGCTGCCAGGACGAGACTCACGGTAGCTCCTCCTGACTCCGGGCACGTCGCTTGTCAGAGGGAGCCTCGGCGAAATCCGATCCGCGCCTATTCCCGAAACCGGTCCGTCAGTTCACGTTGAGCCATATTGTGGAAAAAATCGTTCACGACTCGGGCGGAGTGAATGTGCGGAGTTAGGTCAGGGAACAAATTCCTAAATGAGTCGAATATTCACCTTTCCAGATACGTCAACAATGGGGGATAAGATGCTGGAGCAGATCGACGAGAAGTCGAAACTCACGACTGACGGGGACACCGCAAAGATAAAATTCCAGAGCTCCACGAATGGCGAAGCGAAAATAGAGATGCCGGAAAATGGAGCCGCTAGTCAGCAGTGCGGGCTCACGAAGGAAGAGCTCATGAAGTACGCGAATGATCCTTTCTGGATCGGCTTGCGCAGGACACTGCTGGTTCTTTTCTGGCTTCTCTGGATCGCTCTGCTCGTCGGAGCGGTGGTAATAATCGTTGCCACGCCAGGTTGTCCGGCGGCCAAGGAGCCGGAATGGTACGAGAAATCCCCGATTTACGAAGTTCGCGTCGACAAGTTTGTCGACGGCAAGCTTCGTGGGGTACATCAGAAACTGCCATACCTGAAGGATATTTACGTCTCTACGATTGTCCTCGAGGAACTCTTCAATCCTGCGGAGCAGCGTGTCATAAGCCCGGACATTGGTGATCTCAACAGCCTTGCAGACCTCACTAAGGAACTGAAGGTCATCCTGAAAATCCCTCTTTCTAAAATTCAACTGAGCAGGGACGATGAGCAACGGAAATTGGCGGGAGCGCTCGTTTTCTGGCTCGACAAAGGCGTCGCAGGTTTTATCTTCGATGAAATTGATCTTATTCCGGAATCGACATATAGGAACGACTTCCCTCAAGTTGTCAAGGATTGCGGCGAAATTATCGCCAATGCCAGCACCAGGGAATTCCCCCGAGTGGCGATGTGGTCTTCGTACACTCGACGGCTGGACGAAGCGGAATTCTGTGTACAGAACGGTACCTTCATTCTCGACTACGGATTGACCTCGCTCCGGCGAGGCTTCACGGCATCGCAATTTTACGAGCAATTCGAGCGTACGACGCAAAAGAACCGGACCATGTGCAGAGAGAATTTCGTGTTCAGTAATGGTGATATCAAGCCCCTGATCGAACGCGTCACCTCCGCGGAACACGATCGAATCATCATGTTCACGTTGTTGGCCGACGCAACTCCGTTCGTATACTTCGGGGAAGAGCATGCACGAAACGATACGAGCTTGCCCGATACTCTCGAGAGGAAGCCTGGGAATCGGCCCATGGCCATGAACTGGAAGACTGTCGAAGCGTTCTCGAAGGCAACCGAAAATAATTATTTCCGTCTCTTCAAAGATGTCAGCAAGATCCGTTCGAAGAACGAAGCTATACTAAGTGGAGAGACCCACCTATCGGTCTTGGACGGTTCGGTGGTGGCAATGTCCCGTACCAAGAAGAAGAATCCGGGCTTTGTCGTCGTGACAAATTTCGAAAGGTCTGCCCGAACGGTGAATTTGACCGAGCTCGGGCCCCATATCCCGGAGAGTGCGGAATTGACGCTGTTCTCGACGAACAGCAAGACTGCAAAGGGCAAGCGCAACTTGCAACAGCTCAACATAGAAGGCGAAGAGACTCTTTTGTTCGAATTCCCATCAATCTGAGAGACTATATCCTCCGACGCAGCGAGGAACCAAGCCTAGAACGCATCATTTAGAGCTATGCTTACTTATATTTTCCCTCAAATTGAGATTCAGTCAAAGGCTTATCTTGGCTCGGAGTCATGAATCAAAAAATAAACTTTCCGTGGTTATGATTCGCATCGCAAGTCTTCCGCCGCTTTTTCTTTCCCAATTAATGCTACTCGTGAATCATGAGGATGGCCTAGTATCTATTCTCGCGATCTCCACGCCATGCCCGATCTTGATTCGACGACATTTTCCTCCACCAATCGCATCGTTAAACCATTGTCGAATAACATTCGGTGCAGCCGGGTCGATGGGTCAGGGGTGTAGAGAGGGAGGTGCCAACTGACTTCGGTTCGTGCGGAGATACCGTTTATTCGGCCATCTCGAGTAATATTATACAGTTCTCTCTTCCAAAACAGCGATATTTGTTCTTCAAGTGTCGGCGTATGTCCTCAAGCTTCTAAGGCTGGAGTCAAGAGCAGCGAGTGCGTCATGAACCAGATTACCGCCGGTTGAAAGAAACAAAGTCCCAGAAGCAGATACAGAGACCGTCGGGAACCTTCGCCGAAGTGACCGGTGCCTGGATTTGAAAGGAACGCAACTCGCAGCGTCCGTAGCTGTGGAAGATGAAGTTTATTTATTTTTGCTCTCTCCCGTCAAACCCGGATTGCTGTCAATTCACGGGAGACATATATTATGTAGGCACGGGGCTCGGATTTCAACGATCTCCGACTGAGCTGCACTGACCAGGAAAAAGCCGAACGTTAGGGAGCAGTAAATTCCGGCCGAGAGGTAACCGAGGTAGCCCAACGGGATCGAGACGAGAAGGGCGAGGATCATCGGTACGAACTTGTAGCCACAGAATGCCATCAGGTCATAAAGCTTCAAGTAGGTGTTGATGTTCAAGATGTACAAGGCCATCATGATCAGCACAGTCTCTAAAATCATTATACATAGGCTCCAACTGGCTTGCATGCCAAGCACTTCAGGAGAGAACCTATTCTCGAGCCCCATCATGTACGCCGATAACAAGATGTACGAAACGAACGCCATGGCTGAAATTATTGAGAATACACGAATCAATCCACAGCCTTACTATCAACTCTCCAATCGACCTCAAACGATTCATAGATCCCGGTTACAAACGCTCATGACACGACAACTTCATGGCTATTATCTCACTGTGAGCGTACTCGGAATGTAGAGGTCCGGAGCGTTGACGTCGTAACGAGGCGGTACCGGCTCATCTTGATTATAGCTCAGCGTCCAATTCTTGTGGGCGAACGGGAAAACTAGCAGGAACAGTTTCTGCGAAACATATGATGTGTCCACGGCGAAATAATATCTGGAAAGAATCGGTGTTTGAGAGGGGAGCTTAAGCCTATGGATATACATCGTCAATTGCTCGCCGATCTTGGAGAATCGGGGGTATGAGGGTGGATAGAAACGGTTTTCGATACGAGACGTCCCAGCTCACGCACTTGAGTTTCGAAATTGAGACGTATTTCTCAATTTTCTCGTGTACGATTTCTCTACCGTGGCCTGCAAGATTCTGTCCGTACTGCATGGCCATCGAAGCCATCGGGTCATTCATTAATTGTTGCGGATTGAAATACTGCGGTGGAACGCCGGGTCTATTTTGGTAACCCATCGGGGTCCCCATCGTAGGCGAGTATTGCGGGGGACCGCCAGCATTGTTGTGCAAGCTAGAAAGAGAAAAGATGGACTCCGTCAGTCATCTCGAATTCCTCAGCGGCTGTCTCCGAACGAGGCATTGGCAAGCGGTGCACTGACCCTGGCAAATGCTGCTGCGATTGCTGATGCTGCATCTGCTGCTGCTGCCCGAACGGGTCATACGGTGGGAGGCCTTGAGGCCCGTAATCGTTGAGTCCTAAATCGTAACTTTCCCATCCTTGTCCAGACGATGCCGACTGTTGTGGATAGTAAGGAACAGACACAGGGCTCCCGCTTGGAGCTTGGGAAGTATCCTCGAACAGCTGCGGGCTCTGTGACTGATTCGTGGGTGTACGATTGTACTGCCGAGAGCCTATAACGATGGGAATATCTCGAATGACGGACGTTCAAGAAGGGGAACAGTCCCGAGGATCGGGAGGATTCTTCCGAACGCCACGCGTGACGTCTCACCAAGGATCGGGAGTCCTCGGGGTAAACGGGTGAAAGACGCTGATTGGAACCTGCGACATATCATCTACCCTTCGGTAGATCAGTGAATCTAGCCATGAGGGTGGGGTAATGACTTCAAGAAGCACTCCGGTATCATGACAGATTCGCGTCAGCTGATCATTTCAGCTTCATTAATTGTGCAGACAGAGCGCTTGATCCTCATCACTCATCAGCAGTATGCAGAATGCCATGACTGTGGAGCTCGTCGAAAAGCTCGGAAAGCATTAAGGTATTTCGTGGACCCCTATGTTTCCATAACGGAGTTCTTGCCGGCGCTGCATACTTTCGATGACGTGTACTGGGAATTGAACGGAAAGCCACTCACCGGGCCGGGTCGGTCGCCGCAAATCCATACTCTCCTCTATCCTTCTGCGGACCAGATGTCAGCACGGAATAATCAGGCGGCTCTGACCGCTGAGTTTCGAGGACTGTTGACACGGAACGATGTCGCCAAGGCTATTGTCGTATTTGAGTTCGGAGAAGAGACGATGCTCTTCCGTCGCTTACTAAGCGACGGATCAGCGAGTTTCCTTCGGGGAGTGCGGAAAGCGATCATCTGGTTCCGCGTGCGCGGAGATGCCCATATCTGAAGTCGTATCCTCACGGTGGACAGTTTGTGAATCGTTTCGACGCTTGCCAGTGGATGCCTCCCACTGATCATTGTCGGTGGATTGCCTGTGCTTCGTTTCTCGGTGCTGTCACCACGATTCAAAATCCTTCCTCTTCAAAACGATTCCCTCTGATGGCAGAGCTATTCAACCAGTCCTTGTTGCGTTCTTCGGAGGCTGTGTGCTGATAGGTACTCCGAAGCCCGCTCAAGCTCCCGTCGTAGGTGTATGCTGCTCTGATAATAGTCGTCCGTGTCTATGCGTATGAGATCGAACCAACGAACACAGGATTACCTCTCAGAAACTCATTATCAGCTCAGAACGATTTCACGATGGTAAAGGGAGAAGTCATCACCCTTCAGCTGGGTTCGTTCTCAAACTTCGTGGCTTCTCACTTGTGGAACCTACAGTCTCAGTGTTTCTACTACTCGAAGGATGCTCCATTCGGGCATGAGTTCGACCACGATGTCTACTACAGGCGAGTGAGAGGCGACACGAAGAGAAAACTACTTAGTACCGATTACGCTGCGGTCAAACTTATCTATCAGAAATCAGCGTTCTGCTCCCCGAAATGGACCGGTCAGAGACTGGAGCTCTTTTCGACGGATGATTGACTTCACATCTCTTGATTGCAGAGAGGGTCGGAGTTTCTTGAACAAAACAACTTTCACACCCAGAACGGTTTTAATAGATCTGAAGGGCAGCGTACGGAACTGCTCTTGGCCCGTGGATCAAGCTTACGATGGACCTAACGATGACGAGCAAAAAGTTTGGGACGGTCAGTATCTGGGCTGGAAGTATTTCTCAAGTCACACATTTTCCTGGGACCTCCTCTGCATCTATTCTTCATCGCCGCACAGCGCACTCCCTGGGTCTGTGGATCCTTCATAACTCGGAATTCGATCGCAGGCCAAGTTCAAATCCACAAGGCGGAACCGCAAGCGGCTTCATCGAAAAGTGAAGAGCTGGGCGAAGTCGATGTCAGACCGAAGAAAGCGCCCTTGCAGAAAAACTCCTGGGCGGGCTATCTCCAGAACAAGTATCACCCGAAAAGCGTAAGTTCAAAAGCCTATCTTAAGCGATCGCTTCGGCCCCTCTCGGTCTGGAGTTCTAGAGAATGGCTTACCAAAAAAATAGCCGCCACTAGCATGGATGAGTGAGACCTGGAAATCCTGTATGACTTCTGGGGGTATCGAAATCGACGACAGAATATACCGATCGGGTTGTAAGTCCAAAATATCCCTTTATTATCAAACTTTGGTAACCTTCCACCTGACGAGTATTTACACGAGACACAGATATTACAACGAGCTCCTTAGCGCGCTCCTAGTTCTTGTCTTTCCCGCGGAAACGGTAGGCGGCTAGTAACATTTAATTAGTTAACATTTACAAAAAAGACGGCCGGCGACGCATTGTCCCTCCAGCGGGCGTTTAAAGCTTCGAAATTTAGCGAAGCCGAAACCGTCTCAATTCAACAATTTACTCCTCGTCTCTTTGGCCGCAAGGGGATCGATCCCAGTGCTGGACGGCGGGTTGAGGCGATAAGACTTCGGACTTTCCGTTGATATCGAAGTCACACTGTTAGATCCGGATTATAATGAATTCATCTCTCGCTCTTCCCTCTCAATCTCTTTCGATTGCTGCTCCAACGAGATATCGCAGTGAAGCCTCTCATCTTAGGATAATGTCACAACTCATCGTCCGCTAATCAGTTATAAATCTACTCGCTATATTTTTCTAGAGAAACTTATCTACGTAAAATTATGTTGCCTGTGAATCGGTGGAAACACATCCGGGATTCGTGGAAATTTTCTCTTCGCCGAAGTGCATTCGATCCTTTGCTCGTCCTCACTCTCGATGAGTATAGAATCCGGAGTAATCTTCGGGCTGAGTATAAATCAGATACGAGCATCGAATGTCGATCATCCGCCTCCCTATTGCACAAGATAGATTCATCCACATCCTCAGGGTTCAACCTAAGGCCATCAATGAGAAATCTCTCTCACCACGCCGCGCCGCTGGTCTCTTGAAGAGATTTTCCGTGGAAAAATCGGGGTGATTGCTTGTGTCGTGTACCCGTGATATTCTAGTTTGGATTCTACGTATCGAGATTTGGAGGATCCCCTGAATTCAGTTACGCATTGGCGGAGTGGTGGGAATTTTCGTGAGTTTTCCTTCGGCTCGCAGATTTCCATACGCTCGGCGAGGCACCTCGTGAAATGTGCACCAGCGTTGCAGCAGTGTTCTGAGAGGGAAATCAGGGCAACGATTGTCTGCTTTGGAGATGGATACTGGCTTCGCTTGAAACTTTGGGAAAACGACTTTTGGAATTTCGCGTTGAGGGAGATTGCGAAGACGAAGTCTGCTTTCAACGACGAGCGTCACGAGAAATTCGAGCGAGAAAAATTAGAGTATTTCAACGTGAAGGGACGGGAAGGAGTCCTAAATGAAGTCTCCGGGCTAGCTCGCCATGGATTCGCCTACGGAAAAGGAAACGAATCATTCAGGGCTACGTCGAGTCACCGATCCCATGCTTGATCGCGAATCGATTAGAGAATCGTGTCCCATGAATGGGATAGCCATGGCTGTTCGATCGTTCGCTGAATGTATCTGTAGGTCGAGGCATAGCGCAGAGCATATATTTCCGTTCTACCAAAAGTTCGGCAGTTGGAATTAACACAATCTTACGGGAGGAATGTTGCCGTTGAATAAATACAATGGAGAATTATTCACTCGCTGCTGCTTATGTAGAAACTTTCGTGTGGCCGACAAACTCATCGAAACTTTCCGCGAACTTCCAGCCTGGCGGTCGTTCGGTCTTCAGTTTGTATAATCACCCCGTAGCAATCAGCCAACCGAGCGGAGCGTGCCCTAGAGGGTCGCGCGAACCAAGAAGGTGGAAGACAGCCGGTCAACTGAGCCGACAGACATAGACGGGCATAGAGGCAGTCACTATTATGCAGTGGCTACAGGCGTCAATTGCACTAACCTTCTAAGTTACGAACAGAAAATCATGAAATATTACGTCTGAATTGTTTGAATATAAAAAAAGCAGTCACAACGGTGGCGGCGGCTACGATGACGATAGCGACCGTTCTAAGGAACCTCGTTGCGTTGAGAAACCGTAGACTGTGCCGCTTTTGTCAGGATTTGTTGCGGCTCAGCGCGTCCGCCAGAATCCATAACAGAAAAATCATCGTTGGTGCTCGTTTCGCGTCTATCGGCTAACTGGTGTCTAAAAATGGTGAGCAACTTCGTTCTTCTGAACCGTTCCGAGCGCATTCACTCACTCAGACGGATAATCTCGAGCTCTAACTGACTCTCACACACAAACACACGTTTGAGCAAATCAAGGCGAGCCATTGTCGACAACTAGGTACGTCGTCTGAGGGGAGAGCAACTCGAGCCCTCGAGGATCGAGAGCTCGAATCAGAACTTCCCTAATCGCTCTGGAATCTCTCCCCGATGTATTGGGTGATCCCACCCTCCTCTTAAACAGGATCACCGGAGTTCTCTCTTCAGCAATCGATAGGCAACTCCTGCTGTCCGATTATGGGTCTCGCAAAGAGCAATCGAAGGAGAAGTGCACAATGGCTCGCGCGAGAATCAATCATTTGCTGCAACATCGACGAGCGTTCATGCTGCCGCCACTGCCGCTGCCAATAAAATCTTGCTCTCGTCGCAATTATCGTTAGCTAAATAGTATACGTCAGATCATAACATTACAACCTTATCGGGTGGTCGGCGGTGGGTCGAACGCTGGTTGCGGCAAATCCACTCGACTTGGCTCGGGGTTCGTCTCAAGAGCACCCCGAACTGCATCACAGTCTGCTGGTTCCTTCCATAGTTCTCTACTCTAGTACTGTCGTCGGGAATTCTTTCGGCCGGAAATTCATTCGATCCATCGTTTGTCTAACATCGCCATTGAGGCGCTATCGATTGAGCAGTCATTTCTCTAGAAAATATATTTCTCCGGAAAGAGGTCGAGAGGTTTCACACGATCTTGTAGTTCCGCGAGTTCAAATTCCACTCAAGAGTCCATTGCCTAATAATTTCATTTTTCGGAAGTTCCTGAGGCTGGTCGAATAGACAGAGGACATCCAGGCTGGAAGATTGACTACGCGGGTATCCCGCGAAACCAGAAAGCGAGTTTCTCGTGGGTTTGAGTCATCCACAAAATTAGAGGTATCAATACCTAACGCTTCTGAGTGAAGTCGACGAATCCGAGTAAGGCGCTGGCATAGTGTTTCTGCTGGACGTGCTTGTCGAGCTCCTGCTGCGAGAGACACAGCATTGGGCATTTGGGCGATGGACATTTGAGCATTTTTTCGGGATGAATATTCCGGACGTGAGATTTGAGGTTGTGTTTGAACGTCGTAACCAGCGGACAATACGGACAGGAGTGGTTCTTGGTGGCACTGTGAACCAGCTGATGCCGGCTGGAAGAGAGAGGCATCCTTCGTTAGAGGGGTTTGATGGTCGATGAATCCTCCTGTTGAAAAAAAATCAATCCTGTGGCTCGAGAATAAACATGAGATTCTCCTCCTGAATCTCAGACTCTAGGGGTCCCGTTCTGATCGGTCGGGCATTCGAGGGACACGGCTCTGGGGACTCGGGAGGAGAAAACTCGTCTGCCAGGGTAAAGTCTTCGATTCTTCTATTATCGAGCCCTCGACCAGATTCATTGCCGGAAGCGAATACTTAGCGGAATCGATGATCAGGACCGGGATCCGTTCCACGAGTTTCCCGGATTAATCACCCCCAGTACTCAATTATGCCCTTTAGTCGCGAGTTGCGAGATTTCACGCGGAGAGCTGTACGTTTCTGAGTCCCGAGGATGGAAGTGGTGCAAATCGTAATCGTTGCCTCGGAAGCCATAAAGAGCGTCGAAGAAGAACCGAAGAAAGAAGACTGCCCGATGAATGACCCACTTTACAGTGACTGGCAAACGGGCGGCGGGCAGGCAAGCAAGCACGCAGTCAGTCAAACCGACAGACCAACGGACGGACAGTCAGTGAGCCATCTTCGCAGCAGCACCAGCCAACTAGTAAGTCATTCGACTGGCAGCGAGTGAGCAGGCATGCAGATGGATAGAAAGAAAGAAAGCATCTCGGACCGACCGACCGACCAAGCGACAGACAGACAGCCCAATGAGCGAACGGACAGACAGGACTAACACAAGAACGATCTGCCGCCGAAGCTTCTTGAAGCGCTACTCGCAGAAGCACGAAGAAGGAGGCATTGCATGAATTGGACCATGCCGGTGGTGGTGGCGGCGGCCGCCACTGCTACCGCCGGAGCAGCTACTTGAAACACCGCCACCGCCGCCACCACCGACGACGACGACGTCTAAGAAACATAGCCGATGCAGTAGTCATAGTATCCGAAGCGCCAGGCGCTGCCACCATAACGGCGCTCGTTCATGGGGCGCACGGTTTTTTTTTCTTCTTCGTCGTCGTCTCTGCCTTCTACTCCGCCGCGGTATTTTGCTGTGTTCTGATTCCGATCATCGGAAATGAATGAACGGAGCATCCAGCCAACCGACAGCTATTGCTGGCACAACCACCGCCGCCGCCGCAATCGTTTTGGGGAAGACGGTGCAGAATACGCATATCGTGAAATAGAATATGAGAAGAAAAGAGATCGAATCAACAAGGAAAATAGGCTAAAGTGTAGATCGCTGGCTCCGGCGCTCAGTGTGAAGTCTCTTTCCCGTCCGTCTATTATTAGCGGTAAGCAAACGGATCGGTAGTTGAAAAGATACGAAAACGATCGGTGGGTACAAGAGAACGGGCAGGCGGGCAGGCGGCTGGGCGGGCGTTCAGTCAGTCGAGGAAACACCGGCACTCATCGGCACCAGCATTTTCGAGACGTCAATCTCGGCTGTTCGAAATGTTGATCAGGAAAGCATTGGTAAATGCCGCGGCAGCGAGTCCCGTCATCTTCGGGCATGACCCGCGTACGTCTCTGGCCCGGAGTGCGTCGAACGTGAATGCCAGACATGGCTAGCGTCAACAATCGAACGCGGACATTTAGATTTCAAGAGTCCTCTCGA